ATATACCGAAGTATATAGAGCTAATATAGATAAAGATAAAATAAAATAAACCTGGTTTACTTCGGATAGATAGATAGATAGATAGATAGTGTATTTAAAATTCACCTTGCAGCTGAACAGCTGAATTGCGTGATTTACAAGAGTATATAAAACATTATTTAAAAGATAGAATATGAGTTAATTAGGCATATTTACAAATGGTCATTAAAACACTTAGTACTAAAAATTACATTAACTTAAGTTACTAGACATAGGAATCAAAGTTTTTTTAAATCTTTCTGTATACGTATTAGTTTCGAATCGTTCAAACAGTCTATTGTTCCTAAGTTGGTAAACCGACTCATGTTTGGGAGGCAGTAAATTATGCAGTTTGTGTGTCGGATTGTTAGTAATATTTGTGAAAAGTTTGTTACACATTTCTTCGCGTCTTTGGAACAAAGTTTGAAGATTAAAATATTCTAAAGTTTCGCTATATGAGTTCGCGGGTAAAATGATCTTCAGTGATCGCTTTTGTACCGTCTCAAGATCTTCTGACAGGAAGGATGGGATTGAGTAATGGAAAACCGGGGCACAATATTCCAAAATGGGCCTGATAACTGTACAGTAGAAACAAATTCCGAAAAATAAGGTCATCTTGAAATTAAAGATATGAATTAAAACAAGACGAGTGTATTCGACTTTATGTCAAGGCATCATCAGACAGAATGAAATACAATACGTTACATACAGCATAATACATAGCAAGAGCGGAAGAATACACGACACCGGAAAAAATAGGATAAACAAGGCAAAGACTTAGCTACTAATACTTAGACTAAGTATAGTTATTTTGCACAATTTATATATATGTATATATATATATATATATATATATATATATATATATATATATATATATATATATATATATATATATATATATATATATATATATATATATATATTAATTAATTCACCTGATGAGTGTGGCAAGCATTGCTTGTCATACGAAACAAGTTTGTAGTGAATAAATCTTATGAAGTAAACCAGGTTTATTTTATCTTTATCTATATTAGCTCTATACCTCGGTATATCGAGCACTCTACTCATATATGATTCTACAATCCTGGAAATAAATTATTAGACTTTTTCAATTTCTCAACGTTTCCCCCTTCCAACATACACCGCATAAATAGCAACATTGTGTAGGGGGGCCTACACAATGTTGCTATTTATGCGGTGTATGTTGGAAAGTGACTTCAAGGGAAGGGGGGATTTAGCATTCAAAATCATGCACTAAGTTATTTAGGCGGAAATGTACGATTTTAACACTTTATAATGTATTTTTGTGAAATTAACAAATAGTCTCCATATATTTTTTCCAGGATTGTAGATACATATTTGGTATATCTATATATATCTATATATATCTATATATATCTATATATATCTATATATATCTATATCTATATATATCTATATATATATATATATATATATATATATATATATATATATATATATATATATATATATATATATATATATATATATATATATATATAATACATACCGGGTGGCGCAAAAAGAGTTAACCTGTTTGATTTATTTTAACTTTAAAACTAAAAGAGCTATTACACCTAAAGTACGTGCATTGCATTCAGTATTGTCTCACTTAAATTTTGATATACGCCCCGTGCAATTTCGCGCAATTGCAATATTGACCGAGAGAGCTGCGTTTAAACTTGAATAAACATTTTGGGAAGTGTCGAGAATTAGCTAAAAACGGCCTGTTAATTCAACCAATTTGGTAACCGTTACCATTTTATCGTAAATATTCGTTTCAATGAAGTGAAGTTTAAATTAAAAATGTTTATTGGATGGATGTGCTCTTTTATTTTTGTTTAAGGTTTTGGGAATGCATGAAAATTAAATTATGAAGCGATTTTGATTAAAAGATTTATTCTAAATATTCAATGACACTGGGGAATCAAATTCTAATGTTCCAAGAAAGAAACGTCAAGTGTTTTTGTATAAATACGCCTCGTTTAACGAAGGACCAAAGAGTTTCGATATGTTTAGAATATGTAAGGGTAAATAATGCTCGTGAGGTTATACCGGCGGCGTTGGCCAAAACGTCTCTGACAACGAACGTGTACTTTCTGACTATAGTGCGTCTAAGCACTGCAGGTTATTGCTGTATTATATATTTGATAGGCCGTTTTTGACAAATTCTCGACATGCACTTTCAAAAATGGTTACTCAAGTTTAAACGCAGCTCTCTCGGTCAATATTGCAGGAAAATGCACAGGCCGTATATCAAAATTTAAGTTAGACAATACTGAATGCAATGCACGTAGTTCACCTGTAATAGCTCTTTTAGCTTTTAAGTTAAAACAAATCAAACAGGTTAACTTTTTTTTGCGCCACCCGGTATATATATATATATATATATATATATATATATATATATATATATATATATATATATATATATATATATATATATATATATATATATATATATATATATATATATATATATAGCTAATTCAAGAAAGGTTGTCTTTTGCAAACCTTAAAGGAGCAGTGCCACCGTGTGCGCATCTCTTCTTGCGCATAACAAAACTTGAAAACGTCGGCTGACGTTTTCAAGTTTATGATTCAAGATGGCGGCCATTTGGGAGTGAGCGCATTGCAATAGAGGCAAAAATTTCGGCACATAGATGTAAATACACGGCTGATGAAACTCACAAAATACTGGAATAGACAGCACAAAAGCTTATACCGATTCCTGTATATATTTGAGGCAAATTTCATGATAAGTCGGGACTAAAATGGAGGCTTGATAAAGTTCACGAAGCGATATCAATTTCGCTGTCCATTTACTGTAGTTGAAATATCTTTGTGGTTGAAAAGAGGTAAAATAATTGAATTCATAACTAAGCTAAATCAATTTAGAAATATATAGCGTAGGTGTAGCGATTTCAGGCATTTGTAGTATTAACAACATGAGCGAAAGACTTAGCTAGAGCGTCAGACAAATCATATAGTCCGGGCGAAATAACTTTGCTGCAATCTGGCAGTGCTGAAGATAACCGAGCGCATCTAGCTATGAATATAAACAACAAGGAAAAGCCCAAAATGATTAATGTAGAACAAGTCATTAATATTCTTCGAACTGACATGAAGACTGACCAAAAATATAGTTTAGTATTAGGAAATGTTCATACATTGTATAAATTCTTACTCTGTATATTGGACAATGCCACATGTTGCATGGCATGCATTTATGTTATATGGCTTACTTTACCAAACGTTGGGAATGAAAAGTCGAATTGATACCCTTTATCTTTACTCACTTTAAACACTACCTGTACCTCTCTTTTCAATTTTGTGGCTATTTGGTTTGGTCTCAGTAGACCCGGCATGATTAAAAGTACTAACCAGAACACTAACATTGAAAAGGGAGTAGTGGTGATATTACTAATATGTACATATGTGATAAAATACCCTGAAGAATATTGCCTACAAATACCCACCAATTCATTATTTTCCATCCTTAACCTTCTGACTGTTAGGTAAAAGCAAGGTCAGATGACATGGAACATATAACCCAGGGAGACAATTGTGCTCAGGTTCAAGCTCTACTGGATTTACTCAACTATTGCTCACTCACAACTAACAACTACAGAAGAAATTGGGAATTATAGAAGAACAGTCTAACAGACATTATGTATAATGATGTCACAAAATGTCCGCAAGGAATGCTGGTCTTAGTAGTCATTGCCCAGGAAAATGTCGATAGTGGATAAATTGTTTAATTTTTCTAGGCGATGAGTACTAAGACCAGCATTCCTCACAGGCATCAAGCCTTGTGACATCATTATGCAGAAGGTCTATTGCAAAAGAATAACTGGACGTCTTGCAGTACAATGTCTCTGATAGTAATCACCACACAATAAATCAACCACTGAGAAACATCAACTTTATTTAGTCTATATTACAGTACAACCAAGTAAAATATTCCCAAACACTTTATTTTATCAATATTTAAAAAATACATGATAATTTATTGTACAAACACATGTTGAATATAAAATTAATTGTGTATTAATAGTTATTGCAATAAATAAACCTTTATGCACATATCAATGTTAACCACCAGAGGGG